CGTAGCGCTCCGCTGCCACTCAAGATCTGCATCCGTGCGCGGCCAGCCAACGCCAGCGCATCACCCTCAACGGCTCTGAAGTGACCCGCACTCTAGCTAGGCGAGCATGCCCAAACGCCGGCCCAAACTAGGTATCCACACATCACTCCCTTATGCACTGTTCCGACGATGTTTGGATATCCTTTCACTGCTCCCTTAGCTTACACGCCTATGCAACTCTGACTTTAACTCTTATTTCTTCTGGAGATATCATATGAAACAAGCAAATCCATTTTTAGCGAAGCATGACGGCGCTACGGGATCTGGTACACATCCTGCACACCTGTATAACCTTGCAAGTATCTGTCCTCCGGTACAACATCAAGGCCGATTCCTCTTATTTGATCAACCATTCGCCGTGTCAAAAATGCAGAGGGGGATGCAAGGAGCACAAGGCCTGCACATCCAAGCAAGTGGTAACGTGGACTTGTACATGGAACATCCCAAGCGCAAGCAGAGCTACAGTGAGCCAGTACAACGAGCTAGCGTAAGTCCCTGCATTTCATTTAATTCGTACTAGCATTAGTGTATGATTTGTGTGCAGTGGCTGATCCACGAATTCAAGTTACTAGGAGCGAACATTTAACTTAAAAAATACGAAGGCACTTGCACTCCGGAAATCAACATAACTTGAGAAATGTGAAGCTACATGCACTTTGAAAACCAGCTAATGATCCAAAGTAGTTCAGTTTATAAACACTAAATGATGCAAGCACCAAAAAACACAAAATGCAACATGGTGTACAAGGACTACAAACATGGTCTGTACCTGCTTGAATTATTCATTCTCTGGCTGAAAATATCGAAGTGTAATTGCACGTATAACCAGTGCGCAAACTGCATATCAATATATCTATCCTGCACAAGTATGCCAATAGTTTCAAACAACAAATTAGAAAAGTATTTATGCTATGTTGTCATGATACGGGGACTTTCTGGTAGATGGCCTCAACGTTTCCTCAAGCTATGAAAATGTACTATAATTTGCTTGTCATCAATGCCTGTAAATCTCTGTCTCTCTCAACATAGTAGATCAT